AACCTGAAATAGAAGTTCCTGGCCGCGGAGCGCGCTGTGAAGCCGGCCCACGCTCCAAGACAGGTAAGTAATTCTTCACATTCGCTCCATAAGACGCACAGACATTTCCCCTCACTTTTGAGGGGAAAAAAAGTGCGTCTTATGGAGCGAAAAATACGGTATATATGTGTAGAATGTGTGTGTATATATAATATACAATTAAAATATATACACACACACTTAATAAGTGTGTATATAATACGTGTGTGTGTGTATATACAAACTCCTCATGTCCCGCACTCACTGCTCCCGGTCTTGTAATGTCTTGGTGCTAATCCTGGCCATAATATAGAATACCTTGTAGGAAAGCACTCACAGGACTTGATATGGTTCAAAAATAGTGCTTCTTTATTGCAGCAATAATTTCAAGTAGAAAGTGTCAACGTTTCAGTCCCATCTGGACTTTTATCAAGACAATTAAACAGTGAAAAAACAGCCTTTAAATATGCAGTGATCAGATGTTCATTGGAAGGTGAAAACAAGGTGGAGTTAGGTCATAATTGACGTGTCTGTTTGCAAATAACGTAATCAGGATAATTGGTATGTTGTTCCACAGGGATAGATAGAAAATAATTAAAAATACAAACACATAACAGTACATAATAACATAAATACATCTATATACATAGTATAGAAATAGTTATAGGGATAATACCATGGCACCAGCATGTATGCTAAATTACTCAGGAGTAAAGGGAGTTATATAGAATTATTCACTAATAATTAAAGTGCCACATGGCTAAATAATCCCAAATAACCAGGGAGTATCACTCCCATCACTAAGGACTCCCATGCCAGGCAGTTGATGCACATTAGACTCAATGAAATGGCTTATTGTCTTTAAGTTATAATATCAGTGGCTAACTTAATTGTAGCCCTCATACTGAAATGTGACTACTTTTAGCTGTTGCAATTTAGATAATGTTTAATCCTGTCTTGATAATTACATAGTCAATTCATTAATACACAGAGCTCACCATATTCAATTCATAATTAATGGAACCATACATGGTTAAAGTTGTTATAATCTAATTAAAAATCAGCTAAGATTACTCAACATAGAGCCGAGAATAACTAAATCATAATCTATAATGAACTAGATATACAAGCTCCTTGAAAATATCACGGATATGTACAGAATATGTTAAAGAAATTTTTACCACTGATGTATTGTACTTAACTATATATTATAGTAATGATAAAAATATTTATCTTTTAGGTAGAAAGCAATATAATGGATTTTTTTCATTGAGTCCACGGGGGGGCATAGTGTCAAGGTTGTAGATCCAATACGCTTCCCTCTGTAATAAAC